AGCTGGCCCAGCTCAAGGGAGGTAAGGCACCTGCCGGAAAAGGGGGAAAAAATGGCGGACAGCCTTGCTTGGCGACCCCCGTGAAATGGTCGATCGACCCCAAATGGGGTCGCGACCCATAGGTTGAGAACTGCTGGACTAGTCAGTCTCTTTGGGTTACAAACTACCTGTTAAGCTGGCTGTTATGGGAATGAGGGGAAAGTCTAATGTAAATTATCTTGTTTTCCCAAATATAAATCAATCCAGTAAGTGGCAGCTCTACCAAAAAGATTGTAGCATACATCATGGTATTTGGAGATCAGATATTATCTGATCCAGATGTTATTTCATATATATGATACACACACACACACACACACACACACACACACTGTATCCAAAAACAAATAGCAGTCATGAGGTCTGAGCTGGGACGTATCAGCCTTCAAGGTACACCAGATTAAGAAACCAAAGCCAAGCAGACTAACATAACTTATATCACAAGTTTACATAACAGAATCTTGTAAATCTGAACGTGCTTCCTCCCTGCCTCTCTCTCTTTATTTTCATGAGAACTAAAGAGGGTCAAGCCTGAAACCATTTCTCAAATTACATCTTTGGATTCAGGTTCTTTTCATCTAACATCCTCTTTGTAGCAGCTTTTCCTCCTACCCCTCAAGGTCATTCATTCTTTCTATCCACTATAGGACCAATGACACAAGCAGTGGTTAGCATCTATTCTGATCACTTATATCCATTCTGATCAACACAATTTACATATTTCACAGTGACTATTTTTCACAAAGAAAGAAGCTTACATCCAGCTGCTAATGGTTCTTTAGTGTGCTGCAGCAGAACAGTGAAGAGTCTTCAAGTGGTACTCTGTAGCACTAAAAACTTATTTTCCATTTCCAACTCCTTCTATTTTCCAGACTGCTTTATAGATTGATAACACAGACAGTACCCTACAAAGATCCCATGGCTCAAGATACATTTTTTTAGCTATTAACCTTTCTTTCATGTTTTGACTAATATTTTAAGGCTCCCAGATCCACATCACAAATGAGTTTTCGTCTAAAGTTTCTAAGATGAAAGCATTAGAATGGTACTTAGACTTTAAATTTTGGAACTGACATTACAATATATATTCAGACATATTTATTTTTTCATACATTTCTTCAGCAACTCTGTGCATGGTCATTTTACTTTTTTTAAAAAAAAATATCAGTATAATTTAGTTATACCAAAGGCCAAATAACAAACAAAATAACAGGCAAAGCATCCTATTGAATATTGACTTGAAAAGGGATACTTTATATAGAACTATATCTATCTATCTATCTATCTATCTATCTATCTATCTATCTATCTATCTATCTATCTATCTATCTATCTATCTATCTATCTAATACTGGTCTCAATTCCTATCCTCTTAATGCATGCAAAATCTTTGATCCTTGAATGGGCAAGCTTGGTGGCTGCTAATCAACGTAATTGAATGGTACATGCTTTTAAAAGCACAAGATAGGTTCATAAAGACTTTCAGGGGAAAGGTATGATTGAGAAATAACAGTGAAAACCTTATCAGAATCCTTTTGAAGAAGGAAGACTTAAAGAAAAAGAGATTTCTTATTGATGTTTTAAAAAATCCTTTCCTCTATAGGCCAAAAGATCTTTCAAAGACTGTCCCCATAAAGCTCTTGAGATGAAATTGGCTAAGGGGGATGTGTGTGTGTGTGTGTGTGTGTGTGTGTGTGTGTGTGTGAGAGAGAGAGAGAGAGAGAGAGAGAGAGAGAGAGAGAGAGAGAGAGAGAGAGAGAGAGAAGGGAAGGGATTAGCATACAGTACTTGTGCATCACTAAATCTTTAGCAACAGATGAAGTGCATGAGCATCAAGCTCACTTTTTCTCAGCCAAGAAAAGGTACTGGCCAGCAAGGAATGTTCTTGGTTGAGAAAAAGTGAGGTTGATGCTCATAAACTTCATACATTGCTAAAGATTTAATGATGTGCAAGTACTGTATGCTAATTCCTTCCCTTCCATTCCCTTTCTCTTTCTCTCTCTCTCTCTCACACACACACACACACACTACATTAACCTATTTTCTCCCACATTTCTTCAGTTTTATGATCTTATCACATTTGTTTTTTTCAGATCAGAGGAACTTTCTTTACGCATTTTGTGCTGATTGGTAGGCATTTGGTGCACATTTCCCCAGGCATGTGTTTTGCTTTGTAATTTTGCCTAATATAAGTTTTTGTAAACAATTTCCATAACATAATGAATTTTGCACATTATCTTCAAGAATGCATAAGTTTCCCCCTAAGGTTTCTCCATTTTTAAAAAAAAAATAGCAATCACTCTTCTAAGTAAAGTTTGAATCATAACTATGCTCGATAACACACAATGATACATAACAACTATGTATGGGCTTTCATTCAAACATTAACAAAACTTTTCTGTCATTACAAAACTGATAAAACGTAGAGATCTGCCAGAGAGATGGATCCACAAAGTTCATTTTAACTACTCCAGTTTTAGAAAAAGCTAACACATTTCCTTTTTTTTTTATATATAAAATTTTATTATTTAAACCAACAAAACAAAACAAAACATAACACACATATATACACAGTATATATTTTAACAGCAATTTCGTAACAGTAATCTTCTATTATTTACATTTCCCCCCCTTATTCTTCTTTGGAGTATTTGTCTTTGTTGCCCCATTATTTCTTATTTGCATTTTTCTTCCTTCATACATTATTATACACACATTTTCCACTTTTAACCTTTCCACATTTATTCTTTCTTATTTCTACTCTCCAGCCAGTCATACCACTTGCTCCATATTAAATAGTATTCTGTGTCTTCCTTTTCTTTTATCTCTTTTGTTAATTTGTCCATCTCAGCACAG